GTCTCCTGGAACAGCAGCTGGGAGGACAGGGGCCGGTCAGGGCAGGGCAGCAGGGGGGTGGCATCACACACACCCCGGGGGCTCCCCGGGGAGAACGACCTGCCCAGCACGGCCAGAAGTGTTCAAGGCCAGGTTGGACAGGGCTTGGAGCAACCTGGTCTAAAGGAAGATGTTGCTGCCTGGAGGAATTCCCTAAATTGCTGGGAACAGGCTCCCGCTGCTCCTGCGGTTGACACAAGTCCTGACAAAGCACCTCCTGCACCCACGCTGGAGAGGGCCAGGAGTTTATCCCTGTTTTTCTTAGCCTAAGCACTCCCATTATTGCCAAAGCTTTGTTGTTCTTGGAGCTTTGGCGGAAGCCAGGGCGTCTTTCCAAAACCTCTCCATGAATATTGAAACACTCTTGTCCAAAGGCTTTAATTAGGCTACGAATCCCAGAAAGTGATTCGCGGGTGCCGAGCGCGCCAGCGTTCCCATTAACAGCAGCTCTTGGAGGCAGCGAGCCCAGGATCCTGCTGCTCAGCCACTGAGGAAGGGAAGGGTTAGGGAAGAAAATTTGGCTGCTCAGGGAGGCTGAGCTCCAGGAGAGCCTGTGCAAAGGGGCTGGTGCTCCGGAGAGTGTGTCGGGATGAGCCATGACCATCGGGCAGGGGAGGGTCCTGGGGGTCCATGGGATGCGGCTCCGTGGCCATCACTGCCCCTGCACCACACCTGGCACCACGAGGGGTTTCAGCCTGGAGCTGGCTGTGCCATCCTCTGTGGGATGATTCCCACTGGCTTCTCCAGAGCAAAGCTTGGCCCCACAGGCACAAGGATATTGACTCCCAACAGCTTTGCATTAACTGGCAGATCCCTCACCCCTGACCAGCCCAGCCAGAAGCACCAAGGGCTCTTCCCCTGCTCTTGATAAGATATGGGAAGGGCCTCAGGAAACGGCTCTTTCTCCTCACGCTCCCTCTCCCGTGTAAATATTTTGAGGAAGGCGGGAAGGGGACGAGGCTCAGCTGGAAGTGCTGTGGGCTGGAAGCGCTCGCTGGGCCGGTGGCATGTGCTTGGCTGCTCCAGTGTTGGCTCCCAGAGAAACACACTCAGCCAGGAGCTGCAGAGCCCCACCCCCTGGATGCAGGGAAGTGCTGTGACGGACAGTGGCAGCTCAGCCCTGCCCAGGAAGGCAGGAGATCCGGGGGCTCTGTCCCCCCATCCTCCCTGCAGTGTATCCCATCGTACCTGGATCCACACGGGCTCCACGGTGGGCCCTGGAGAGGTGAGATTCTCCCAGTTCCCCGTCCTCTTGTAGGTGAAGGTGGTCCCTGCCACCCTGTAGTCCCCGTTCCACTGGATGGTCCAGCCACCATTCAGGAAATACTTCTCCGGGTCCTCGCTCCGCAGCGCCAGGAAATTCCCGGCTTCTGCGACTTCTTCAATCCGGATCTCCCGGGCTCCCACAGGGATAATCCCAATATCAACGTAGCCTGGGAATGGAACCGAGCGTTGGTCTTGGGGGAGATGTGGCAGAGACAATTTGTGCCCTTGGATGGATGAGTGTCCCCTGAGCGGGTAAAAGTGTCCCCTCTGTGGGTGCTACTGTCTCCTGGGTGGGGGCCAGTGTCCACTGAGTGCCAGCATCATGCCAATCCTTACATCTCTGTAAGGCACCCATGGGCACCAGACCCCACCTTGCACTGAGCCCAGCTGCATGCCCTGCTGTCTGAACCCAAAAAACCTGACAAACTGGGATTAAAAGCTTCCCTGGGAATGAGCAGCAGCAGCAGCAGTGACAGCAAGCCTGGCTCTGCATGGACCAGGCACTCAGTGTTTTGGGGACAGTGCTGTGCCCTTACCCAGCCCCTCGCTGTCCTCGAAGGTCTTGTGGACGGTGTGGCAGGTGGAGCCGTCCCCGTGGCAGACCCCACACCGATCCTCCACCGCATGCGAGTCGATCTCGTAGTCACAGCCCACGTTCTGCAAGGGACCCCCGTCAGCCCCAGGGCTGGGGACACCCCCAACTCCCCTCCCACCCCTGCGAGTCCCAGGGGCACATGGCCTTGAGCTCTAATGCCTCCCACGTGGGACTCTGCCCTGCAGACCACAGACCACCACCCACTCCCTCATTTAACAGAAATCCAACGTCTTCACGTGTGCTTATTCCATCCCAAACCCTGGGACAGTTTCCCTAGGCAAACAGATAAAGGGATCGGTTCACTGCCACTAAAGGCAGTTGAAGGACCCAGGGCACAGCTTGGCAAAGCCTCCCCAGCCACACCAGGATCTCCCAGACCATTTGCAGCATCAACTGCACCATCTCCAACGGATTCGTAGAATCCTGGAATGGTTTGGGTTGCAAGAGACATTAAAGACAGTCCAGTTCCAACCCCCCTGCCATGGGCAGGGACACCTTCCACTAGACCAGGTTGCTCCAAGCCCTGTCCCACCTGGCCTGGGCTGTGCTCTATATCCTTGGGGCAGCACAGAGGCTGGAACATGTGTGTACGACACCCCCCAAGGAAATCAGGAACGCTTTCCAAGTGGGGAACGACAATGGGAACCACCTCAGCACGGGAGGGAGGGGACGCTGGTTCCCCAAGGGATGGGTCACGTGTTTTCCCAGGCAGGGCCGTCCCTGGGCTGGCTCCCGGAGGAGCAGCACAGGACCCACCTTGCAGATGCCGTTGATGCACATGTCCCGGCTGGCGTCCCGCTCGTAGCACGGCGTCCCGTCCACCACCGCGTCCCGCAGCTTCTCCGCAAAGTACTCGTGCTCCGGCCGGCAGTGCAGCTCGCAGGGGTTAACTGGGGAACCCAACAGGCACACACTGAACCCCAGCAGCGGGGGCAACACACCTCAGCCCTGCGAGCCCAGTGGGGTCACACTGCAGGCGAGTCTGGGGCACAAACAGCACTCGGACCCTCTGCGGGACCGCGTTCGAGGGTTTCTGTGTTTGAGGTCTCTGCCCTCCACTCACTGTTGTTGGGCACTGGTGTCCACTTGTAGAGCTTCCCTTTGTAGAGCATGGGGTTGAACTGGCTGCACTGGACCTGGCGGAAGGAGGGCTTGTCCGGGGGGCACAGCCTGACGTTGCAAATCCGGAACCGCTTCCGCTCCCCCAGGCAGTAACGGCCCCCGTACTTCGGCCTGTCCAGGGCAGGGAGAGGCAAATCAGGGAGGCTTTGGATGAAAGAGACTTCAGAGTCATGGAATCCTGGGAGGATTTGGGTTGGAAGGGACCTTAAAGCCCATCTGTTCCACTCTCCTGCCATGGGCAGGGGCACCTTCCACTATCCCAGGTTGCTCCAAGCTCCATCCAGCCTGGTGCCTGTCCTGCAGCTGCCCTGGAGGAGCTGCTCTCCATCCCACCCAGGATACCCCTCCAGCTCTGCTCCTCTACTGCCCAAGGGAACAGCAAAGCTGTCACTGGTCTTTTTAAACTAAGAGGGACTTGAAAAGCCACAATAATTTTCTCTCAGGTTCCTGCCATGCTGCCTTTTCCTTTGGCCACACCACTCTCCATGGCCCATGTCCCCACAACCTCATGAAAATTCCTTCTCCAGGACACACTTTGCTGAAGAGAATGAAGTTAATGATTATTTTGGGGCTGTGTTTACATGCCCTGCCCCGAGGGAATGTCTGTGGGAGGAGGGGTGCCCAGCACACACGTTTGCTCACTCCATCCCAAAGGCAAAGCTGGAGATTTACCTCCGGTGGCCAAAGCAAACAACTGCCCGGGAAATTCCGCTGCTTTCCCAGTGTTTGCTCTCCCGCCTGTCCACAGCTGTGTTTGGAACACTCCATAAACTACCACAGCACTTCTGCCACGGAGCTCATGTCAAACCAGACCTGGCTCTTGACCCAGGTCTGAGACAACACAGCACTTCCCTCAACAGCCCCACAGCACGTGCCAAACGTGCCCCAGGGAGAGGATGGGCAGAACACACACCTGGGCACATCAGGAGCCCATTCCTAGGGCTGCCAGGGCTCCTCATGCCATGGAAAAGCGATTCCCCTGGATCATCACTCACAAAGCCCTTTTCCTCCCCGTCCCAGGGCACTCCAGCTCCTGGGCAAGCCAGGGCATTGGGCTGAATCCTGTGCAACAGCAATTTGGTGACCAAGGGGACATCTGGGGAGCAGATGGATCAGCCCAGAAATCATGGGATGGAGAAGGAGGCTCCTCTGGCACTGCCCGGATGCTCCCAGGCGGGAGCCAGCCCTGGCTCAAGGAATGCAGCAGGCTGACAAACTGCAGCAGGATTTTCCAAAACAACTCTGAATCAGGCTCCAAGAATGCCTGGTTTGCTGTTCTGTCACTAAAGGACACTGGGATGTGTTTTACATCTCTGAGTCTTTGCCCTTTGTTTGAGTCACTGCAACCGCTCCCTGCCTGCACAGACCGGGAGTGACCCTGGGAGGGAGCCAGAGCAAACCCGGCCTCTCCAGAGGCTCCCGGGGGTCACCCCAGGAAATAAATGCCCTGAGTGTCCGAAAGCTCATCGTTCAGCCCAATAACTGCACGATGGCACAGCCTGGCTGTGTGTGCCGGGGTAGGACTGCACTGGACAGATGATGGCTCCTGGCTTTACAGGGAATAAGGAAGAGTTGGGTTCCTCTGCTCTGGAGCCAGGCTGGGAGAGCTGGGGGGGTTCAGCTGGAGAAGAGGAGGCTCCAGGGAGACCTGAGAGCCCCTTCCAGGGCCTAAAGGGGCTCCAGGAGAGCTGGAGAGGGACTGGGGAGAAGGGATGGAGGGACAAGACACAGGGAATGGCTTCCGACTGCCAGAGGGCAGGGTTGGATGGGATATTGGGAAGGAATTCCTGGCTATGAGGGTGCTGAGGCCCTGGCACAGGTTGCCCAGAGAAGCTGTGGCTGCCCCTGGATCCCTGGAAGTGTCCAAGGCCAAGTTGGACGGGGCCTGGAGCAGCCTGGGCTAGCGGGAGGTGTCCCTGGCCATGGCAGGGGTGGGATGGGCTGGGGTGGGCTGGGATGGGCTGAGGTGGGCTGGGCTGGGCTGCACTCACGTGGGGGTGCTGCAGTGCCTCTCAGCACTCTGCACTCCGGCCCCGCAGCTCCGGGAACAGGCAGCCCAGGAGCTCCAGGAGCTCCAACCACCGTCGATGGGCTCGGGCCGGTGACCCACAGGAACACACTCCCCGTTGAAGCACCACTGCAGAGGGACAGCAGAGAGAACAAGGCTAAGGATGCAGGAACTGCTGCCAAGTCTGAGCCCGGTGCAGGGTGCAGGGACACCCAGCACACACACTGTCCCACAGAAATCCATGTTTTGCTTGCACAGGGGTGCCTGGGGTCAGCTGGGCTCTGCCAGAGCCTGGAGCACCTCAAACAATGGGAAATACAGAGATGCTGGGCTGCTTGGGACTTGTCTGAGGTAACAAACCCAAATCTCCACTGAGACCCCTCGTTAAGGGAATTCTCAACCCAATCTCAGCCCAGAGGGAAGAGCCAGTGAGGCTCAGTGGTGGGGAAGATCCCAGGGATGAGCATGCACCACCACAGCAGACAGAGAGCAGAACGAGCCTGGTGCTCTCCTGCCATGGTCATTAACTGTTGGCTTCACCTTCCCAAGGATTTCTAAGCTTCCCTGCAGGCAGCCCCTCCTGGGAGCAGCGGGTGTTTGGACAGAGCATGGGCAGCGGGATGAGCCTGTCCCTGTGCTGGAGCCTGTGAAGCTCCTCTGTGTGCAGGACAGGGGGTCCCTGAGGCCACAGAGGGTCTGCTCCCCGTTACCTTGTTGTCCCCACAGGCTGTGCCATCCACAGCCGCATCCAGCTTGGAATGACACGTGTTCCCCACCGTGCACCACAGCGTGTTGCAGACGCTCTGCAGGAAACAGGTTGTGCAGGACACAGTTATTGCCCAGCCAGCCCTCCAGCACAGATTTAACCCACGAGGAGAGGGTGGCCCCAGCAAAACCCCCACCCCAGAGATCCCGGGAGCCCCTGCTCCGCGGGGTATCCCAGCTTACATCCATGTCGTCGCAGAAGGTGGAGTAGGGGCCGTACTGCAGCCGGCACTGGTGGCCCACGTCGTACAGGACCCCCGGGGGCACCAGGGGGAAGTCCAGCACCTCCCGGGCTGGGGGGTCATCCAGGCACAGCCCCCAGCCCCGGCTGAAAGAGAGAGGGCAGGGCGGTGTCACCGGGGCAGCCACCAGGGAGGAGCAGCAGCTCATTAACGTCCCGCCGCGTGCGGAGCAATTAGCGATTCTCCCTGACAGGACTCCTGCTCTGCAACCAGCCCTGGAGCCGCTCCAGCACCGACGGGCACGTGTGGGTACCTGATTTTGGGGGCGGGAGCCCCCCGAGTGATCACCCCGCGTCCCCCGGGTTTGGCAGGACAGTGGGAAGGAGAAGGGACAAAGGCAGCGGCTTCTCCCTGCAGCCCCTGGGCTGGTGCCTCCCTCCGCTCCCGCTGCTTCTGCTGCGATACTTCCCAAACGTGCACGGAGTTGTCACCAGTTCAGCCTTCAGTGTTGATTTAAACAAACCCGTTTCCAGCAAGGCAAAGCCTCTGGCGAGGCCGGGGCAGATTAGATTACTCGGGTTTGTTGTGATTGGGAACGGCTCTGAATTAACTGGAAACCAGATTCCTTTTTTACCCAAACCAGCAACACGGAAACAAGGGCTGGAAGCACGGGAGAGCTCCTGCTCTGGGGTGCTGGCAGAGCCATGGGGCAATGCCAGGCAGAACCAGCACCCCCTCCTCCCTTTCCCATCCCACCCAGTGAGTTCCACGCTGGACACCTGCAAACAGCTCACACAGCTGGAGGCAGCCCCCAAAAGTCCCATGTATATCCTTACTGCAAAATACTTGTATGTCCCTATTGGAAAATTCAGGAAATAGGTTGATTTCAGCAGCCCAGAGGCTGGAGAGCCTCATTTCCAGATTCCCAACAGCAGGAGCATCCTGCCTCTCCCAGCCCAGGGGGAAGGGAAGGATGGCAGTGGGCAATGCAGGACTGAGCCCAGATGGATTGGGCATGGATTGGGCAGCTGGACACAGTGTCAGGGTGCAGCCTGTTCCAGGCACACAGGGGGTCACTGCATGGCACCCCCACAGGTATTTCCATTGAATCCCAGAATCCCAAAATGGTCTAGGTGGGAAGGGACCTTAAAGCCCATCCATGCCACCCCCTGCCATGGGCAGGGACACCTTCCACTATCCCAGGTTGCTCCAAGCCCCATCCAACCTGGCCTTGGACACTTCCAGGGATCCAGGGGCAGCCACAGCTTCTCTGGGCAACCTGTGCCAGGGCCTGCCCACCCTCACAGGGAAGAATTCCTTCCCAATATCCCATCTAACCCTGCCCTCTGGCACTGGGAAGCCATTCCCCCTTGTCCTGTCTTCTTTTCCCTTGCCCTGTTTTCTTTATCTGCTGGTGGAAAACACTTGGAGTATTTTCTTTAAAAACGGAAGGAATGGTGTCTGCACTGGGAGAAGTCCAGGCTTAAGCACTTCATCCTGGTTGAGCCACATGTGTGACACTGGTGCTGCTGTGCCTGTTTGGGTCCCACATGGGGCCCCATGTCCCCCCCAGACTGCCCCAACCCTCCTGCCCCCTGAGCTGCTCAGGGCACTCCCTGTGCTCCCTGTCCAACCCGGGGGTGACTGAGACCTGCACCAGCTTTCCAGTGCTCTGGTCAGAACCTACTTCTGACCAGAACAATTGTAAAGAACGCTTTACAATTGTTCTACTGGTCTCTTCAATTGGCCAAAACACATCTGTAAGCCAGGAAAAGCTGGCCTGAGTTTCCCTCTGGCTTTGCAGGGATCTGCAGTAAATCCACTCCGCAGGGAAACACGCAGGGGTCTGAGCTGCCTCTGCCTGTTCCAGCCCTTCCCTAACGAGCTGGATGATGGAGTGGATGGAAGGATGATTAAATCCCCATCTGTGAGCAGGCTGGGAGGATCTGCAGATACATTTGAGAGCAGGATTAAAATTCCAAAAGCTCTGAGAGAACTGGAGGAAGGGTCTAGAAAGAGCCAGGACAGAATTCAATAAAAACAAAGGCAAGGATTGGAGCAACTGGAGCTTGGGCAGAATCAGCTGCACAACCAGGAGCTGGTGGAGCTGGCAGGAGCAGCCAGCCCCAGGCCCTGGGAAGAGGAGGATGATGGAAGAAGAGCTCCAGCACTGTGGAAAGAGGCTGAAAAACTGGTTGTTTGATGTAGAGCAAAGACTGAAGGGAGAAGGGACAGACTGCAGCTGTGCCAGGGCTGCAGAAATGAAGGGAGGCTGCTCCATCCACCCCGGGATCAGGGTGCAGGGAAGGCATCCATGAGACACCAGATCCTGTTTGACAAGGATGTTCCACCAGCTGGGCTGGGAAAGAGCTCGTGCCATGGTGAGTGGGGGGAACAAAGAGCCTTACAGCATCCTGCAGTGGGGAGAGGGGAAAATCCCACAACTGCTGCCTGTGCTGGCATCCCACATCAGCCTGAGCCAGGGAGGGTCCTTCCCTGGGGACACCACTGCCACAGCAGGGAAGGGACCTGTTCCAGTGCCCCTGGGTGTCTGAGTGGACCCTGACCCAGGAGGGTCTCCAGCCCTGGCTGCCCTGCAGTGCCAGGGCTGTGCCACTGCCAGGAATCACTTGGAGATCCTTAAACACTCAGCAGTGCTTGTAAAATAATAATCTTCTGTACAAGAATAATAATCATCATCTGAGAGTGGCTTTTCTCCAAACGTGAGGCCTGTTCCAAGCACAGCCAGCAACCCCAGGTCAGCAGGGTCCCATTTTCTGGCTCACTCCTTCCTGTCCTCCTGCCAACACCACATCATAACAACTCATGTCTGTGCTGGCCCCTGGCCTCTCCCTGGCCTCAGGGATGTCACAGCCAGGGACAGATGCCTGCTGGCTTCCTTCTGAAGGAAGAACTGCCCCTTCTGGGGGGGGTAAAGAGACCAAAACCCAACCAGAGGAGCACCCAGCTGCTTTGTCTCTCCCCCATCCCAGCTCAGAGCAACCCAAGGTCATCACAAGCAGGAAATTCTAAATGCAAAAGTGAAGGTTAAAAGCAGAGGGCCAAGAGCACTCCAGATACAGAAAGGCTCCATTCCTCTGAAAGCCATAAATCAACAATAATTCCCCCTGCACGGGGCCAAACCCACATGTCCCAGGCTGGGGTTTAGGAGCAGGAGTTCAGCCCTGGCAACCTCCCCACCACAGAGCACCAGCCCCTCATCCAGCTCTCCCACTGCTGCTCCTCATTGTTTTCAAACCTTCCCATAGCAAGGAAGGAAAATGTTCCTCCAGTGCAAGTTACTGACAGACGTAAATCTCTGGGCTGTGTTCCTTGGAACTTCATAACAACAGCCTGAAAAATCAGTCCTGGGTGCTAAAAATAAACAAACCCGGGGAGGAATCTGGCTGGGTCTCGTTTCCCCACGTGATGCCTCCTCAGGGTGACAACATCCAGCCCGTGCAGGGACTGCCGAGAGCATCGAGGAAACCACTCTGGCTTTGCCTGTGCAACCCCAGACCCTGTGCCACCCAAACACTCCTGAGCCCCCTCCACAGCACGGGGGAGGCAGCCCAGGGAGGTCATGGAACCATAGAATGGTTTGGATTGGAAGGGACCTTAAAGCCCATCCAGTGCCACCCCCTGCCATGGCAGGGACACCTTCCACTAGCCCAGGTTGCTCCAAGCCCTGTCCAACCTGGCCTGGGGCACTCACAGGGATGGGCCAGCCACAGCTTCTCTGGGTAAAAGACCCCCAGATGCTCTTAGACAGAAGCTCTTAGAGGTAAAAGCATCCCCCTGCACCCTGGCCCCGAGCTCCCCCAGCACGCCCAGCGAGGAAGAAGAGGAGGAAGGACTTACTCGAGGAACCGTGTGATGTACTCGCGGCTGCAGCGGGACCAGGTGAGTGGGGACGTGTCATACAGGAGCTGTGGAGACATGATGAAAGGTCTTTTCCCAACTGGCTCACAGTCATTGCTGCTTCCATCATGCTGAATCCCAAAACTGTGTAAGAGCACAGTCCCACAGAGGGGAGATGAGCCACGGCCACCACAACCACGCAGCCGCCGCCTCCCGGCACCGCCACACCGGACACGGCCCCGGCACAGCCCCGGGGACACGGGCAGGGACAGGGCATCCAGCACCAGGGACTGGGCAGGGACAGGGCATCCAGCACCAGGGACAGGGCAGGGACAGGGCATCCAGCACCATGGGGACATGGGCAGGGACAGGGACAGGGGCCTGGCCCTGGGGGATGTTTTACTGATACCGAGGACACTGCCCCCAACTTTGTCCTGTGCTTTTATTTCCCACTGAATACTCAGGAATATTGAACAAGATCATCTAATTAAACTTACTGGTGGGTGTTTTCCCCCACACAGATGTCTATTGGGAACTATGGTGTTCAAGTGATCTTGTCAAAATTTGATTGAAATCTGTTGCTGATTCTACAGACAGATCCTGTTTTAAAGCTGCTCCAAAGCCTTCCCAAACTAGCACAGGGTAATACTTAAACACAATTTGTCCAGGTTGCCTTGGATTATGTGGTTTTCATTAAACATGGGGCAACCAAAAACTAAACTCTGGAATGAAATCCCCGGGGGAGAAAGGAGGGGTTGCAGCAGTGAGGAACCACTGGGAACCTTCTCCCAACTTCCCCCCGTGCCTTGTCCAGCCCTGACTGAGCAGCGCAGAGGAAGAGGAGGAGGAGGAAGCTGGTGGTACCTGTGTCCGAGCTCGTGGGCCACGGTGAAGGCCAGGGGCAGCCCCGTGTCCTCGTTGATGTTGCAGCTCCGGTGGGGTTGGCACATCCCCGCCACGTGGGACAGCCCCAGCGTCTCACAGGGCCTGTTCATGGCAGCACAGATGTCCTTCCTTGGGCAACAGGGACAGACAGACAGACACAGAGCAGAGAGGGCGTTGGAAGGCGGCAGGACAGAGTGTGGGACACGGCCCAGACACACGGACAGCGGCCAGACAGAAGTGAGAACAGAGCCATCCAACAGCCTCCACAATGGAAACACTGACGACCTTTCCTTTCCCCTTTCCTCTCCCCTATCCCCAGCTCATTACTGAGCCTGATTAATGGGAACTGCTGGCTGCGTTTATTCCGTTGTATAAATAAAACCGATGCTGGAATAATAAAGCAATTCCTATGGGGCAGCACAGCCCAGGGGTGCTGTGGTCCAGGGCGGCTCCAGCCACCCAGGAGGAACAACTCCATTAAGTACAAGGCCTGAAGCGCCTCATTTCTGCTACAAAGCAACTTCCCAGAGAAGATAAAGCTGTTGTGGGTTGTGAATCATCACCCAAACCACCACAACGCTGCCAAAAGCCAAGGCACGGCAGCCCGAAACCCTCAGAGCAGGGCTTGACTGTAAGGTATATAAACTTGGCCAGAGCCATGAATTCCTGTTGGCTCCATGGGAGGTCAGGGGCTTCCCAGAGGCTCCTCTGCCAAGCCCAGCCTCCAGGAAAAAAAGGAGAGTTAATCCCTGTGTACAACTCCTGGGAGGATCCAGCCGCTCTGGGGCTTGGCAAGAGGGCCACGGGGAAAACCTGGTTTGGAAACTTCAACTGGAAACCTGAGGTTTGAGACCAGTTCATAGAATCAATGAGCCCTGGAATGGTTTGGGTCGGAAGGCACCTTAAAGCTCATCTCATTCCAGCCCCCTGCCATGGGCAGGGACACCTTCCACCACAGTTCCAGCCGTCAGGAGCCAGATATCTCCCGGTTTCATGTTCCATATCTTAGGTGCAGGTGTCCAGGCAGGGCTCAGCCGTGGACAGTGAGGTTTCACCAGCTCCCCCCGGGATGTTCCTCTGCCTGCCCCTCTACCTGCAGCCAGGGCAGGTTCTTCCTGACAGAGCAGCACCTACAGCAGCACATCAGGAGGACACGATACCTGGTGAGCAGGACGGCGACGTCGTGGTGCAGGGGATGGGAATCTCCTTTCACATTGATGCTCTTCTGCCACTTGCAAAAGCTTTTCAAGGTGTTGTCTGCATGGTGGGAGATCTTCAGGTCCTCCTGAAAGAGAAGAAGCCTGCTGTCATATCACTGCTGGAGCTGTTTGGGTTTTGGGGTGGAGAGGTCTGATCTCAGACACATGGGAGTGGAATCGGCAGTGACTGCCATCCAGATGGAACTGCTCCATGTTTATAGGTTGTAGGCCGGGTGGGAATAAAGTCCTTTTCCTGCTTTCTTTTCATCTGTGATTCAACCAAAACATGAAATCATCCAGTAATGGGGGTTAAGAAACACTGCAGGGAAATATCTCGTCCTGGCTGGGGGCGAAGGACACAGCTGGGAGCCCGTCTGAGTGGCCTCAGAGCCACCACTGCAGCTGGGACACGGCCACCCAGGGACCCACAGCCCTCTGCTCCCACACCCATGCTGAGTTAGCACAAACCATCCTAAAACTCAGACTCAGCAGCTCCTCTGGCCACGCTGTCCCTGACTCCTCTGGCCAAGACGAGGGCGCAAATGCTGGACTTCTCTTACACAAACTCCTCCAGGCCACGCAGACGGCACGGGAGGGAGCCTGGCTTTCCAGGCCAGCTCCCAGTGCATCCCAGCCTGGCTTTCCAGGCCAGCTCCCAGTGCATCCCAGCCAGGATGGGCTGAGTCACCCCGTTTGCTCTCACCTCCTCGTGCTCCAGCAGGATGAGCCGCACTATGGCGATGTTGATGGGGTTCCCGATGCTGGCGTGGTGGAACAGCCCTGCCACCTGTGACACGGGAATGCCAAGGAAACACGGCTCAGGACAGAGCCCAGCCCCGGGACACGGCTGCTGGCACGTCCCTCTGCAGGAACAGGAGCTCCAGGGGAAGCTGCTGGAGGCTGTTGACGACATCTCGGGGAATTCCCCAAATCAAGGCAGGAACAGACACAGGCCTGGACCGAGGCCTGCGATGATTTCCATTTGCACTGGATATGATCTGTGCAGAGGCTGGAACTCATCCCAAAACGCCCGGGGAACCCCTCTGCTCTCTGCTCTCACATCAAGAGATGTGTTTAACATCTCAAAGGAATTCGGTGCTCTCTGGGTGCCTTCACCACCCCCCAAAAATCCAGGGATGTTACCTGAAGTCCTCTACCCAATCCCACCCTTTCCTGGCATCAGCCAAAACTCTCTTCTGGAATGCAAAGAGGTGCTGCCCCGGCAGCAGAAGAGGAAACAGACTGAACCAACTCACCCTGACTTCTCTGCTTCTTCTGTGGCACCAGCAGACTTCCCCACATTCCCACCACAATCCGGTGCTCCTTCCCAGAAAAGCTGTTCCCATCTCTCCTGCTAACCCAGACAGTACCAGCTCTGGCACCAACCACCTCCCTTCCCTGGAGCATGTCTCCCTTTGGGGGACCTCCCTGGGAGGCCACTTCACCCATCCCATGGCCCTTGAGCCCCACAGGAAGGTGAAATGGTGTTGGCTGCTCTCACCTGCACAGAGGTTTTGCCCTCAGGTTTGCTGCCACCCACCCATCCTCCCATGGGGTCAGAGCACTGAGCAGGGCAGCAAAGCCAAGGGGGGTGGGAAGAGCCTGAGTGGTGAGAGCTTTGCTGAGGTCCCACCAGGGATGAGTCCTGGCAAGCCCTGGGGTCTTCTACCCAGAGAAGCTGTGGCTGCCCCATCCCTGGAAGTGTCCAAGGCCAGGTTGGACAGGGCTTGGAGCCACCTGGTCTGGTGGAAGGTGTCCCTGCCCACAGGGGGGTAGAACTGGATGAGCTCTGAGGTCCCTTCCAAGCCCAACCATTCCCTGATTCCCTGATTCCATGTGTCACACTATGGCTCTGCCCTGCCCGGCCAGGACTCACCATGTTCATCACGGTCAGCACGTACTTCTCGATGTTCTCACTGCCATGGAACTCCACCATCTTGGTGTCTGCCACCACCAGCGTTTCCACCCACTTCTCCCTGCTGATGGAGCGCTGCCTAATTCTTCTCCTCCTGTGCTGCCTCTGCTCCCACCGTTCCCTGCGCCTCTCAGACCGCTCCAGGCTTTCCTGAGATTCTGAGGGATTAGATGGGGAAAAAAGGTCTTTTTTTCTTGATGAAATGTCTGCAATTTTGATAAAATATCTTTTTTTTTTTTTTTTTAGTTCAAAGGAATAACCTTAGGTGTGGAGAAGACTCCACACTTAGACCCATAACTTATGTGCATTTTGCTGTGCTCTGTGCTCCAGAAGACTCTCAGCTCAGTCTGCTGCACATGAGCATGATAGAAAAACAAACAAAGCATTTGAAGTAATTTCTTTGACTGGAACAGGGCTTGCAATATGCCACAAGGAACACGGAGCCTCCCAGAGCAGAGTTTTAGGGTTTGTACTGACACGGGAATTTACAGGCAACCCTGCAGAGATGCTTGAGAAACAACCTGAGAAACAACCCTGGTGGCTCAACATTTTGGATTATCATCCCAGATCTATATTTTTCAGGGAGGCACAGTTCCCAACAGGATAAGTTCTGTGCCCCCAAAGCTGGACTGAAGTCTTAAACCAAATCCCACAGCCATCAGTGCCCTGGGCGAGCCAAGACCTGGCAGGACAGCACAGAGATTTCCTCAGGCACATGGAGACTGAACTCTGCTCCTTCCCAAGGAGAAACAACGGGAATGTTCAGCGGGCTGAGCAGGGGCCGGAGGCGGAGGAGAGCTCCTCACGCACACCAGCAACTGGGAATTCTCCAGTGGAGCCTTTCCCTGTGACGCTGCTCCAAGATCAAGGTCAGGGTCAGCCCCAAGCTGGGTGAAGGCTTTACAAACCTCATCCCACACAGTGGGAATCGCTTTCACGACCAGTTTGGGAGGCTCAGCCTCTCTTCCCTAACAATGGACTTTTACATTTTATGGACTATAGTGTACGTTAGCTGTGAAAGGGCGTTTGATCCCCCAGCCTGAAAAATCCCAACTATCTGGATAATTTGATGAATTGCTAATACCACTGTGACAGTTTAATCGCAGTGGCTTCCTTGGAGCTCGTTTCCATTGTGTCCTTGGCTGCTGAGCTTCCAGCCAGGACGTGAGGGTACTGCAGAGCAGAGGGTGCCCAGGGGTCCTGGGGGGCTCGTGGGGCATTTTCCTTTGGGATGATCCCTCTCAAACACTCACCCAGCTGTACACACAGGCTGCACCACGTATTACAGAAGCTAAACACCACCCAGCAGCCCAGCAGCATCTGGCTGTTGTGGTGCTTTGCAAAGCAAACCAGCAATACATCAGGGCAGGATGGAAGGGTGGCAGTCACTAAAATCCTACAGGCTTTGGGATTCCTTTCCAGGGCATGCCCAGCATATCCACCCTGCTAGCCCTGACTGCAAGGGAGATCCACACGAGTTACACACGGGCCATAGTACACCCCGAGAAATGAATTTTCAAGGATACACTTCAAAGTCAAGAATAGACTTGAGTCAAGAAAAGACTTCAAAGAAGCCGTTAAGATTATTACCACAGATTAAATAATTAATTTAGATTATCAGAAGAATGCCTGAAAATAATCTGATCATAGCAAAAAAACCCCAGTTTCTGAAAGCAGAGAGCTCCAGGAAATAGCAAACCAAGGTGTGCTGCCTGGAAGGTGCAGCTTCACTGAGGAGTACAGTGCCCTTGAGCTGCTGGGGATGGACTGAGCCTCAGTACTTGAAATCCTGCATTTGGGAGTTTATCCAACCCATGTGCTCTGGACAGAGAAGGAGCCACACACTGCCTGCAGCAGGAACTCCCTGGGCAGTGACTGGGTTTCACTCCCGAAGTCCAATGCCCCAGCAGGTCTGAAGTTTTCAAGGGAATGAAAGCAAAGGCTCAGCCTCCCCATCATCTCCCTGCTTGCAGCAGGGCTGGGAGGAGAGGAGAGCGAGAGGTACACGTTGGGGTTCAGCACACACTGAGTCACTGGTGGCACCAACATTGCCAGAGGAAGGGGCAGTACCTGGCACGCCACAGGTTTCCCGGGGGGCTGGGGGGCTCCTGCCCTGCTCTGCCCCGTCCTTGGGGGCCTGGCGCTTGTATATCCTGTGGGGCTGAGCTGCCCCGTCCTCCCGGGGGCTGCTGGCCACCGGCTCGATGAAATAGTCCTCGTTGAGGAGCCGGAACACGCCTTTCTGGCAGGAGAGACAAGGGGGCACTGTGAAGGCACCTGCACTGAGCACAGGGTTACACTGAAGGGCCTGGGAGTGACCATTAGAATCACAGAATCCTGGAATGGCTTGGGATGGAAGGGACCTCAAAGCTCACCCCATTCCATCCCCTGCCATGGGCAGGGACACCTCCCACTAGCCCACGTTGCTCCAAGCCCCGTCCAACCTGGTCCAACCTTGGATTCTTCCAGGGATCCAGGGGCAGCCACAGCTTCTCTGGGCAACCTGTGCCAGGGCCTCCCCACCCTCCCAGGGAAGGATTCCTTCCCAATCTCACATCTCACTCTGCCCTCTGGCAGTGGAAAGCCATTTATTCAAACACAGAAAGCTCAAAAAGCAAACACAACCCCCACCTGAGAGCAGCAGCAGACCAAGGATCCCATGGACCTGTCATCCCTCCAAACTGGGAGACACCAGCACAGGCACTGCTGGTGATCCCTCCCTCTGTCCCATGCCCGTGCTGGGGACACAGAGGGGTTCCCAACCCCAATGCCCCTATCATCCCATAGCCCCCTCGGGATGGGTTATGTGGTGCCACTTCTGTGAACCCACGGGAGGTTTTCCACCCTTCCCCCAAAACTGTTACTCTTTCACACTTTGGATCAAGGCAGGGGAGAGTTCAGGAAACAGGGAGTAGTTTCAGTACCCACGAGCTGTGTTGTCATTAACACCTCCAGCTCCGAGCTCCTCACAACCACACAGTTATGTACTAGAAGGCAGAGAATTGCTGTCTTTGGGAATTTGGACACAAACAAGCAAACACAGCCCCGGAGAGTTCCCAAACCACTGGAATCCATGGGAAATTTACAGTCAGCTCATCCACGGCCACATCAGACCTACGTGCTGGGATCCTGACCCTGCTGCCGCCGGGAGTTTTGCCGTCGCTTTCAGCAGAAAGGGGGACTTAGCTCCTCCTGTTTCCTCGTGGATTAAGGATCGTTATGGGTCAGGGCTGTACTTACCAGGCCATCGCAGGTGCTGAGGGCAGCCAGCCCTCCCTCCGCCCGGCTCCGAACCTCCCCGATCATGTGGCAGGGGTTGGAGGTGTGCGGCTGGATCTTGGCGCCGGCGATGCCCCCGAACCGCCTCTCGCTGACAAAGCCCGGGGCCAGGAGGTTCCTGTTGAGGCTCAGGTTGAATTTCAGGGGTTGTCCTTTGTAATGCAGCTCGTAGAAGGCAGGGAACTTGCTCCTGGAGGCAGGAGACCTCCGGTGAAGGGCTCGGTGGGTCAGGTCGTAGGACAAGAAGGATCCGCTCTCGTCAACCTTGATGGGATGAACGATGTCGCTGCCCGGGGGCGGCGGGGGCGGCTCTGGGGAGAGGGGGTGCAGGGGTTACCTGCAGGGCTCCTCACCTGTCCTCTCCCACCCCTTCCTTCCGCTGGGTGAACTCCCGCGGCAGGGACCCAAACACCAGTTGGATCAGGTCACTGGTGTCCACTGGGACGGCACGGAGCAGCGAAGAGCAGGGACCCCGCCTGCCCCTCGTGCCCCCGGCGGGTCAGGGCTGGGGTTTGCCATGGGACAGGGTTAAGGTCAGGGTCAGGGATCGGGTGGGGAGGGACGGGGGGATCGGGCAGCTCCGGAGATTCGCTCTGCCGGGGCTGGTCCCGGTTTCCATGCACACACTCCCGCTGCTAAACTCCAGCTCCAGTAAAAAACCCACCGACCAAACAACGAAAAAACCCGCAAAAAATTCAAATCCCCAGCTTGGAACACGTGTGTTCGCACGCCGTCGTCCGCCGCGGGCAAAGCAACCCAGGGCACTGAGCGCCCCGGAGCCTCACCCGGCTGGGGCGCAAGCGCAGGAGAACCGGCAGAAGCCGGGGGTGCACCGGCGGAGTGCCGGGGGGAGTCGGGGGGCCACGGAAAGATGCCCCGCGGGGGAGCCGGGTCCGACCCTGCCCAGCCGGCCGGGGACAAGGGAAGGGCTGCCAGCGGCGGCGGGGCACCGCGGTGCCCGGCTACGGCCCCGCGGGCGCCCGCGCACCCCGCGCGACATCCCCACGGCGCACGGCATTCCCGCGGGATCCGCGCAGACATCCCCGCGTACCCGCGACGACATCCCGCATCCATCCCCGCGCATCCCCGCGGACGCCCCCGCGCGCCCCTCCCGCGGTCCCCGCGCGGACCTGTCCCGCCGGTCCCTGAAACGGCCGTTGCCCGCGGCGCGCCAGGCCGGGCAGGAGGGGCAGGAGGGGCAGCAGGGGCAGGAGCCCGGCCCGGGGCCGCCATGGCTGCGGCGCTGGGGGAGCCCGCCGAGCCAGGGGCGGCGGGGGCGGGGCTATGAGCATCGGGGCGGGCTGATGGGTAAACGCGGCGGGGGCTGATGAGCATCGCGGGGCAGGGGCTATGAGCATCGGGGCGGGGCTACGCGCATCGGGGCGGGGCTACGCGCATCGGCGGGCGGGCTGGGCGGGCAGCGCGCTCTGCTGGCGCTCGGCGCCCCTTGGCGCGCTCCCGTTGCGCTCCGTGCTCCGCCCGCGGGATTGCGGTGGAAAGGGAAACATTTCGGCGAATTTTCGTTGAAAATGGGAAAGAGTGCTTGGCTGACGCTGCCCTGTCCCCCCCCCAGCCGGTGCTACCCCTCGCTGCCCCTCTTTATTTCCTCTCAGGTTAAAACGAACAGGGAGCGCAAACCTGCGGTAACTTGGCGCCATTAAACACCCCTCCTGGTGCCGCTCGTGGCCCCCACACCTGCAGCCTTTCCCCGGAGCCGGCCGCGTCTCCCTCTTCTCCGCCCCTGCCGGCCTTGAGAGAGAGATGTATATTTAATTAAACGATGACGTAATATGCAAACGAGCGGGGACCGCGCGCGCCCCCTGGCGGCCGCAGCGCCGGGCGCGCGGAGCTATGCCGAGTGGTGAGGGCGGCGCACGAATAGCACAGCGCCCGGCTAGCTCAGTCGGTAGAGCATGGGACTCTTAATCCCAGGGTCGTGGGTTCGAGCCCCACGTTGGGCGCATAAAATTTTCCTCTTCCTTCCTTTTTTTTTTTCCATTATTTTTCCCCTTTTCTCGCTGCTCGCGGCCCCGGCGGCCGCCACTGCACACCGGGCGCTGTGCTGTGCCCCCGCACGGCGTGCGCCGGGGGCGGGGATGGCCGGACTCATGTCCCGCCATGCGCGCCTGCGCGGCGGGGCCGGGCGGGATGCGGCGCGGGCGGTGAGGCCCCGCGGGCTTGAACCGGGCGAGCAGGGACCGCCCCTTATAAATTGGCGGCCAGCAGATTGATTCCACAGCCCAATTCCAGGAGGGTGAGTTTGCCTAACCCATGCAGAGGGAGCGGGTGGGGTGCCCTGCGAGGGGCCCGGGGCGGTGGCGGCCGCCGGTCGCTGCCCGCTGCGGCGATTTGCACCCAGTGCTCGTGCCTTGAGGGTGATCTCGCTCTAATCCCTCGCTGCTCAGCCCTGAGGATTTGGGAATTCGTGGGAAAGCCGAATTCCCGCAGTCTTTGTCTCTTCCCGTGCCTGCTCTTTCCTCCCAGTGACGCGCGGGCCCTTCCCACCCCCTGTTATCCTGAAGGCCCTTCGGTTCCTCGCCCCTTGAAGGGCCTGGACCTTCCTGGGCGTTAAAACTGTTGCGATCCCCGGGGCTGTCACGGGTCGCTTCCTCGCGCCTGGAAGGTTTGTTTTCCCCGAGAGGGATCTCGGCGCAGGGGGATCCGTGCAGGCAGCGCCGGGGTCGCGGCTGTGCCGGAATCCATGTTCGCCACGAAGCACCGGGGCTTGAGGGGAACGAGGGTCAATCGGGCTCCTTGCCAGGCTTTTTCCGCATATATTTCGATTTTTAGCTTACGATTGTGGTTGGTAGTGATATAAATAAGAGAAATAATATAGGAAGGTGGCTGCCCCATCCCTGGAAGTGTCCAGGGCCAGGTTGGACAGGGCTTGGAGCAGCCTGGGACAGTGGGAGGTGTCCCTGGCCAGGGCAGGGCTGCGATGGGATGGGGTGGCCTTTGGGATCAGGGACAGGTGTGGCTGTGTCCTTGGGATGGGATGGCCTTTGGGATCAGGGACAGGTGTGGCTGTGTCGCTGGGATGGGGTGGCCTTTGGGATCAGGGAGAGGTGTGGCTGTGTCGCTGGGATGGGGTGGCCTTTGGGATCAGGGATAGGTGTGGCTGTGTCGCTGCAGTGTGGGGGATTCACGGGAGAGGCTGCAGTGAGGGAGCCAGAGCCTGCCAGGTTCTCACAGAAACAAAGAACGCCAAATGGCTGTGTGATTTTTAAAAATAAGTATTTGGCAGGAGCTGCGGACATCTCACCTAGAAAACACTGAACAACAATGGAAATAGAGAGGTGTTTCCACCAGCACTTGTAAGCACGGTGACACAGGAGGGGAATAGTGTCACCTCTGATTGTCAGCCTTAATTATACTGACATTTGCTTTCTTTAAATAAAAGTACTGACCGTGTCATGTATCAAAATGGGCACTTCTGTGAGAAGCTTTCTAAATCTTTTGCTTTCTTGATACACAGAAGCATTTTCTAGTTCTGCAGCTCATCTCCCACGTTGCAGCTCATCTCCCCAAAAAATGTGAGGCACTGCAGCTTCCAGAAGGAAACATCTGGGCTCAGGTATCCTGTGAAGTACATTGAAATTCCCACAGTGTAACCACACAGTAAGGCCTTGCCATTGAGGAGAAAAAAAACAGGGTGAAGAACAGTCTCATCCTATATAAAACCCTCCAAGTGAACAGTTTTTGTTGCTCTTCCACAGACCCAGCACTGTTCCATCCCACACATAAGATGGGGAAGTGTGGGGGGTGTCTCTTCCTGACTGCACTGGGAATACCAGGTGCTGTTCTTCCTGCAGGGAAAGGTGCACAGGTGACAGTGGCTTTCACGTGTCAGAAGCTTGAGGTGCAGAGGTGGGATCTCTCAGGAGAGTTAATGTCCTGGTGGGGACCAAAGTGTAGTGTCAGAGGACTGAAGGATCCCTCAGAGCCAGGCAGTTTTCCCTGTGTGCTGTGTGAGCACTTGGACTGCAGTGTGCTGTATGGAGCCAGTGTGTTTTGGGGTGTGCAGCCAGAACTGAAGGCTTTGAGGGAGTCGTGTGTGCCAGCCTTGCAGTGGGGTGTGGGAGTGCCTGGTGTGGGGGCAGGGATGTGAGTTTTGGTGGCAGTTCCCTGCCAGAGTCCCAGCTGTTGTGCCCACTGTGGGCAGGCCTGGCTGACACGTGGTGTGGAGATGGCACTGGGGTGTTCTAAGATGTTTATCTGGACCTTTCTTCCAGGTGAGCGAGTGCTTTGTTTCCATGGACCTCTCCTTTATGAAGCAAAGGTAAGTGTGGCAGCTTGTTGCTGCAGGTGGTTCTCACTGCCCCCCAGGAAAATAAGGAATTGCTTTAGTTTCCCTGCTGTGCCTCGCTAGGTGGGATCAAGGGCTGAAATGAAAATTAATGAAAACCTGATGATGTGTGAAATTTTAAATCCTGGAGCTTTATAATATTGAAAAAAATCAGGAAGCCCAGTGGTGCTGCAGTTATTCTGGTAAACTCCCAAAGGCTGGGTGGTTTCACATGTTGGAATATCCAATAGAGCCGTGTTCCCAGAACACTGGGAAGCATTTGCACCTGCAGGACTTGGAGCTGCTGGGTTACAGTCCTAAAGGAAGTGGCATTCCCAGTTCTGCTTCCCAGTACTGGCTTTTTAACCACATGAACCTGCATTGCAGATCTGTGATGTGGAGGGTAACCTGCTGCCTCAGGTTTGCTGGAGGTGCAGCTCTGGATTTGCCTGCTGAAATGGAAAAAGGGCTGCTGTAGCTCTCTGGGTTAGAGGACTTGCAGAAATTCCTGGGGCACCTCAAACAGGGATTTAAATCCATTAGGATTTAGTGTCAGTGAATGTTAACTGATGGGGCAGCTTCAGAGGGCTGGTGGCAGGGAAGCACTTGGTCTTCTCCATGCTGTGTCCCTCTCCTTTATCCAGAGTGGGATTTAAGCAGGGTCTGGCTCTGCCAGCTTGGTGCTGGAAGGGATTTCCCAGCGGGCAAGAAGCTTTTGGCTGGCTGTTGGTATAAGAGTGGATCCTTCTGAGTTCCTGTCCTGGCAGAATAAACTTGAATTTTAATTGTAAAATGTTTTCTTTATTTACTTAGAAGCATTTAATATTAAAAGGTGCTTTGTAAGTAGTAATTAATAATAACCTTTGCTTTCTTCCCGTTCCTTTGATCTGTTTTTCTTCAGTGACTCTCAATTCATGGGTTGCTTTGTTCCTGACCACATCTGGGGTGTCCCACAGCAGGATGGTCAGGGAGGCACTTGTGTGTGTTAGAGGAGTGTGAAGAGTTGTGGCAAAGGGGAACTGCTCGTACATCTCTACAGTGCAGAGTTAAATGAGAGTCACTTAAAGCACTTCTAACCTCCAGCAAAAAAAATATTTTGGTACAGAAATATACTTGAGTCATCTTTTGCTTTGTGCTCAGCCCTTTTGTTCTTCAAGACAAGTAGAGACGGGCACAGTCTGTGTCTGACTGGGTTTGACTTCAGGCTGTCAGGATGAGCCCCTGGTGCAGGACT